GCTAGATAGTACGCATCGAGTGCTGGCACATAGATTTCTTTTTTATGTCATTTCTCATTTTTTTCATACTTTTAGAAATAAACGAGGAGACTTAATCATAGGAAACATGTCGAACAACGAAGAAGCTGGGCCTTCTGACCAAGATGCAGACGAGATGGATTATGAGGGTGAACAAGAGTACCTTGACTATTTGACTGCTAAGAAAGGTTTGCAGGTCGGCCTCGATGATGGTACTGACACCGACATCGACACCGACGGCGCCGACACCGATGGCGGCGCGGAGACCGGTGGGGTAGGTACCAGCGGGGAAGATACCGGCGGGGAAGGTACCGACGGGGAAGATACCGGCAGGGAAGGTACCGGCGCCGATGCCGCTACCGAAAAGAAGTAGCATAAGAAGCAGAGGATACGAAAACCTAACAAACTAGGGATTGGACGACTAGTGATCATAAAGATGGCACGTGGCAAGTTTGAGCCATTAGAGCCGGAAGAACCTCGCAAGTGCTATGGGAACCAAGTAGGATGCATCCTATGGGAATGCGCGAGCATCAATGACGATGACTTAAGGAGTAAAGAACATTTGACGCAGTTGCTCCTAACGAAGTTGCACAAGAGATTCAAGTTCCCCGACCGGGATGATAACATAGAACAATCGTGGATGATCTGAAGATGAAAAAGATTAACAATCACGCCATGGGCATGTTCAACAATGATTTGGCCTCCTGGAAAGGGAGGGTGAAACAAGCTATTGAGGCTGAGGAACCCCTGTCCAAGATTCTGGAGGAAAATCTGACACTTACGGAAGAGGAGTTCAAAAAGTTCAAGGACACTTGCGCTACCGAGGTAGCCAAGGCTAAGGCTGCGAAATTCAAGAGCCTTCAGCAAAGGAACACAGGGAAGCATCGCCTCGGAAGCCGTGGCTACCTCGGTAAAAGGCCCATATGGGATAAGGAGGACGCGGAACGTGAAGCCGCGGGTCTCCCAGACCCCTTCACGAAGTTCACCAGCCCCTTGGAGCGTGACTTCATCAGGGCCCGCTACAAGTGGGACAAGGAAAAAAGGTTCTTAAACGGTTCATTTAGCTCCATATCTAGTCGACTACACATTCCTAAACGGTTCACGCTCCTTCTGCAGGAGAAGCAACACCAGCTTGCAGCCGAAAGCCCTACTTCTCCGATGAGGCCCAAGTGGGACACCCCTCTCAACCGGGTCTTGAACGAACTTAAGGGACTCCGTTTGGGCCAGTGGCTGCAATATGGTCGTGTGCACGGCGCTGGAGACGGCGCCACGTGAAAGGTGTTTTACAACGAGGGCCCGGAGGCCAAGAAGCAGGAAAAGAAGTTTAGTCAGGCAGACATCGATGCGAAGGTGAAGCTTGTGGTTGAGAAAAAAGCAGCTGAGGACGCGGAAAAAACAGCCGAGGAGAAAAATGAGTTGCTACAGCAGGCAGTCAATGCAGCTGTAACTGTCTGCAGAAATGATTTTGCTACTAACTTGGTTCCAGCTATCATCAACTGGACGAAGGGAAATCCAGACTAGACGGGACATGATTTCTCGATGCCCAGTTTCGTCGGGAGCAACTCAATGAACAACAACAGCACCACACCATCACTTGCTCATGCAACCGGGCCTCCTCTCACAGTCGCTCCCGCTCATAGCAGCCCGTCCTCAGTCTCTGGCGCGCTAGGTGGGCCTTCATCTTTGGCTGAGCTCGACGCCGTCACGGTAATTACATGTCGCACCAACACACACACACACACACACACC